TCAGCACCAGTCATTAATGTACCACAGATGTCCCGCAGCCAGCTGGGCAGACACCGCTCTCCAAGCTCTCACAAATCTGCCCATGTCTCTTGTGTGTACAGTGCCAGCACCGCATGCTTGATGTTGTTAAAGGATGTCTGAATGAGAGCGCTGGGCAGTCTGCGCATGCGCAATAGCAGGCTGAGGGCCGATCACACGGGCGCTGTACACACAGGAGACGTGGGCAGATCCGGAAGAGGTTAGAGAGCTGTGTCTGCATAGCTGGCCGTGGGACATCTGTGGTATGGTTAACCACTGCTGTTGAGGATCGATGTGAGGGGAATGAGGTGTCTTCAGGGTGGGAGGTTGTGTCATCATATTATCAGATCTCTTCGGCCGGCCTTGATGCCGATTGGCTGGGAAGCCAGCTTTCAGGTCAATCAGCATCGAGCCGGCCAAACAGAATGGAGTAATGAAGAAGCCGGGCAGTGGGTAATGACACGCTGCTTGGCTCCCCGATTGCCCGGGAAGCCGGCTCTATGCTACCGGAAGTACAGACGATACTCGGTATCGGTGAGTACCGAAATATAAACCGCAATCGGTGCATCCCTACTGATTAGAAAATGTAATGAGCTTTCCAATATAAATTCTATTGGTGTATGGCCAGCCTTAAGGTGCCCATACACCTTGCGAATAGCGCACGATAATCACGGGAAATCCCGCGATCTTACGATAATCGCAAGGTGTATGAAAGGCGTGTGAACGTTTTTACTGTACGGTCGCACGTCTTTTGTCGAACCAGCATGCTAGAAAACACTTGTATGATTCTCGCCGGGTTTCTAGCCTGCTCGTTCGACAACTGCGGAACGGGCCGGCGTGCACACTGCCCTCAGCGGGGCAGGCTTTTCGATGATCGCAAGTACGATCTGCCTGTACAAGATGGGCGGATCGTACAAGCTTTTAATAAGCTCACGACCATCGCAAGACAAAAGTCTTGCGTTGGTCGTAAGGTGTATGGGCACCTTTACACTCCATATTACTGTAAGAAAAGCAGGCAAAAGTGGCAAGTGGCTCTGACTCCCAGTTTACATGTAATTATCTCTAACAATTCAACATGCAGGAAAACAAGTCCTTCCCAACAAACTTTTCATGACTTTAAATGAATCACTGAATTCAATGAATCAAATAAGAATATCCAAATAATGACTAATGGAGTTATTCACATGCTCATGCTGAGGTAGTGATGTAAGTGTTGTCATGTGTTGCATAATAAAACAGGTTTACAGCATGCCTAACATTAAGCAAAACACAACAAACTAAATGCCTTTGCGGCAGGTGCCTGGAACAGACGTGCGCACTGTAACTTTTATTTCATAATTACACATTTAAGTGGATGAATGGGAGCAGCATTAACATTACTGCATGATACACAAATACAGAATTCAAACCACACACTTTGCAGGGAATTTAGACTTTCCCTGCCAATATGCAGGCTGTCCATGTAGTGTGTTCACTGCACGGGTAGAGAGAGGCATGTGAGCAATGTGCCAGGTTACCGGCAGACAGTTCATATCTCATATGCCAGGTCCAATCTAGCAGGTTTCTACAGTATTATGAAAACATGCAGTGACCCCTTTGCTAATTGGGTGCTCTGGTGTTCTGTGAAACAGAATCTGGAGCAGGACAGATCCTTTCTCAAAGATGCTAGGCGAAAAACTAAGCGGTCTCTAGCGAATAGGAGGTTGGCCACCATCAGGGGCTGCCTCTACGTTGTGCTTTTGTTTCTTTGCCTAGCATCCTACTCCTGAAGGTGGCGTTATAACCCAATGGTCAGATTCAAGATCTCCACATCAATAACTGGAAGAGAAATTGCATTGATGGTATAGTAATATATTACATCAATAATACTGTCAATGTGTATTATTTATACACAAATGTTGGCAGGCTTTGTTGTTGGAAAATGTTGGCCGGCTTTGTTTTATTACAGAAGCTGCTGTCGTCACTCCAACAACATAGACTGGGTTCCATCTGACAATTTCTGACAGCTTTGGTGCCAAGGTTGCACCAAAGTTGTTTTTTTTAGCCATACCTAGTATGCCCAAGGTCTATCAGCAGTGTGCTCTTGTGTTATCATCGCCTGTTTGCATTAGCTGCTAAGCATCTTACATAAACAGTACAAAGTACATTATGCTATATAGAAATATTATATGGCATGTTACGAGACAAAGAACCAGACCACTGGGAAAAATACTTAAGAGAAACTCCCAATTCCATACGATTATTGAACTGCTACAAGGCAATAATCCAGTCGTTTATTAAAAGAGAACTATGGGGTAAGTATTTTTCCCCATAGTTCTCTTAAGTGTCACGGGAGGACATATACTAGCGTTCTCCCCTGACCCAAAGCTCCAGCTCGCGATATACTGGAGACTGCCGCAGCCTGGATGGATGCCGACATTACTGTCGAGATCCACCCGGCTGCGTGAGTGACAGCTGGCTCTGCCTATCTAGAGGCAGAGCCAGCTGTACCCGCCCCCTCCCCCGTCCGTTCCTCCAGTCAGCGCTGAAGGATCGGAGCTGGGAGGGGGGGAATCCTTGCGACTGACAGTCACGGCTCCCTGCAGGGAGATGACCGGAAAGTGAGCGAGCGACGGTATGTGTTCGCTCACTTCCCGATCTATTGAGCCGACGTGTGGCAGTTTCATTGTCACACGTCGGCTCGAACTATGAGGATGAGTGATTTTCACTCGCCTCATAGTTCTCCTTTAATGGATGCAACAAAACAGCTACGGCTCGCGGTATACTGAGCCTAGGGTGGCGGGAGGACGCTAGTTTGTGTCCTCCCGTTACCCTAAGGAGAACTATGGGGAAAAGCCTTAACCCAATAGATCTCCTTTAACTCCGCAGGGTTGGGTTAGTTCTACACAACTTCAACAGAACAGTAGGAGGTCTACTAAAGGTGTCCAGCATGGCTGCTCAACAAGTCCTCAAATTGAAGGGCCTACTTATCGCAGATGAATACTTCTATATTACTAAATGTCCAGAATTTTTTATAATAATTTTCTTAATATGTTCCTTTTACACAAATTAGCAAAAGTGGCAGAAACATGGAGAAAAAAAAAAAAAGCACCTTAGTCAGTCCACATATGGCAGCATCATAGCATGTTGGTATGTCAGAAGACATCTGTATGCGAGAGAATACGTGACCTGCCACAATGTGAGCAATCATTAACATACCAGAGCTTATCGTGTGTCATTATCTCATTGTTCTCTGCATACTCAGCATCTCCCTGGCAGAGTGCCCAATTTGCTTGGCATGCCCCAAATCAAATGCCATGTGCCTAGCACAGTGTTTCTCAACCTTTTTTCAGGTACAGCACCCTTTAAAAGTATGCAAAATCTTGAGGCACCCCAGCCTAATATGTAATAACTGTAAAAAACATGTGGCCCCTACAAAATCCATACCAGACTCTTATCCAAGATAGGTGTGCGATACGGATATGAAGCGGGTTCCCACGCAAAAACACAGGGTTCCCCAACACATCAAAATCCTCCCTTTCACATTAGAGTCCCCCTTTACATCAGGAGCCCTCTTCACATCAGAACCACAACCCATATTAAACGGGCCCCATAGAAAACAATGGGATTGCTTTGGTTGCGCATTGTCACACAATACCCAAAGCGCTTCAAACCGCACTGGCGTGATGGGGGCATAATCAGAGTCAGTGATCTACACAATTTCCTTTCATGCTTCCTTAATATTTACATGTCTCACTACATAGTTGATGGTAGATCTAAAAAAAGATTGTAGAATCAGATTGTATAGTGTGTGGGCAACTCCGACCCTCCAGCAGTTGTGGAACTACAAGTCTCATGGGGCATTGCAAAACTGACAGTTACAGGCACGGCTCACAGGGGAATGATGGGACTTGTTAAAGCACAGCTGCAGTGCCAGAGCTGCCCACCCCGTTGTATAGTGTATTGGCACCTTAAGACAACCCGACATTCACATCAAAATCATACTGTGGGGAACTTATAAGTACTGAAGCAAATTCTTGAACAGTTGCCCATGGGAACCAAATTTGCTTCTCTTTTTCATTTTCAAAGCTTAACTGGACTGAAAAGAGAAGCTGATAGGTTGCCATGGGCAACTGCTTCCAATTCTGTCTGCTACAGTTTTTATAACCCCCCCCCCCTCACCTATGGGCAAAGCTCCCACCAAAACACTTTTGTATAGGAATGTAAAGCGTTCAGTACACAGAGGGGAATTGATCAAAACTGGAGCAGACACAATCTGGAGCAGCTGTGCATGGCAAACAATCAGCTTCTCTGTTTCATTTTCAAAGCTTAACTGAAAAGAGAAGCTGATTAGTTGCCATAGGCTACTGCTTCAGATCCTTCTCCAGTTTTGATCAATTTTCCCCTCAATGTTCACAAACCCATGCAAGCACTTCAGTTTTATTTCTATACACATCCCAGCAATGTGTTATGAATCACGGCTATCAGAATTAGCAAGCTTCTCCTAATGTTCCACTACTCGGGACACGCGTTCCCAATAGCTTGTACACAAGATAAAACTACCACAAATAATCCAGCTAGGACGGCTGCCAAGCGCCGACATCGCGCACAGCCCCTGGGTGTTGTAGTCCCAACCCCTACACCGGCGATCCACACCACAGCGGCTCGGAACTACAACTCCCGAAAGTCTGCGCGCAGCCTGACACCCGGGCGGGGTTTTCTTAGAATTCCGTGACGCAACAGAAAGCGTGAGCCAGTGAGAGCAGAGCAAGGTGGAATGTCAACAAACAAGAAGCCGACCACGTGACAGCGAAGCCAAAAAGGAGACAGTGTACTGGCTCATGGCTGGGAAATGGGGGGGGGGGCTCTTTTAATGAGGTGATCGCCCACTTGCTGAAAACAACACAATTCTCACACAACAAATGCATTGTAAACCGTCATTGTACAAATCACATCTCATACAGGAATCAGTGAAATGATCACAATGCTTGATTATTCATTACCTGGAAGTCATATAAGGCGACAATGTTTTCATGTTTCAGCTCCTGGAATGAAAACATCAACAGTCACATCACATATTCAACCACCAAATCCTAAACTCTAACATGGACAATGCAGACACGGGCTTACCTTCAGGATTTTGATTTCCTTCCCCAGAAGGGTTTGGGACTTGGCCAGGTTTTTCTTATTGATACATTTGACTGCAACCTCCAGGTCCTGCTTCTGTAAATGTAACACAGAATAATGGAGATGATGGGAGACCCTCAGAACAAAGCACACAGTTCAGGGTGATCCTACTTGCCCAGACTTGTCCAGCCCACAATCAGGAGAACACAGATGAACGAGGCTCCAGAAATGTGCCACATGCTGCCTTTCATTTCTGTGCCATGCTGGTCTTCCAAGAATAGCTCTAATCTTAGAAAGCTGACCAGTTTTATAATACAAATGTCCCGATTGAATTGCAGCACCGAGGTCATGTGTTGTCACTGAACATGTGGAATCTACATACTGGAACATTACCTTCCATCCAAAAACATCGCCCTCCAAGTTGTCACAAGCCACTTTAGTAAACAAAAAGAGTGCAACTTTTTAGCTCACTGGTGAGTACTGCTGGCTCCCGGTGCTGGGGTCCTTCCTCCAGTTCAAAATTAGCCCCTCTCTGTATGGAGTTTGTAGCCCTATCCCATGTGTGTGGAGTTCCTTCCATAATCTGATAGGTTAACCAGCTACAGGCTGAATTGGAGGAGTGTAGGACCATTACAGGGGAATTAAACTATCAACGCACTCCAGAGGGAGAAGAGATTGTATCTAAACATATACATTTGTAGATATGAATAGAGTAAGGAAGGTTAGAACCTCTGTTACTTTTTTTATTGTAATACAAACCTTACAGAGTTTATAACCCTTCCCTACTCTTAACTACACTCTGTCTACATATACTAAAACTATTACCCGGGGCTGGACAAATCCCAGGAGCCAGGTCGCCAATGCTCATTACAATTTACAGCTGGCACCCAACTTTTGAGGTTCTCTCTAGTTATTGTCAGTGGAGCGAACTCCTAAAATAACCCTGCTGGCTTCTGGATTCCATAATCATCTGTTTACATACTACTACACTTAGGTTACATATATTAGTATTACTACATTCTGTTTTAGATATATTATAACTATTACTGCTACACTCAGTTTTCTTGTGCTATAACTATTACTGCTACACTCAGTTTACTTGTGCTATAACTATTACTGCTACACTCAGTTTACTTGTACTAGAACTATTACTGCTACACTCAGTTTACTTGTACTATAAATATTATTATACATTCTGTTTACATATACTATTACAGTTACACTCTGTTTTAGATATACTACTACACTCAGTTTAGATTAACTGTAACTATTACAGTCTGTTTACATATAGTGTGCAATCTCAGCTGTAAAAAGACTATGTTTACATATACCCTTGTAGACCGTTATCACCAGGACAAGTGTCCCCATTGGGAGATTTCTCATCTATTCCTGTTCTGGTAACCTCTCACAATTGTGGTCCCCACATGGAAGAGGGGGGTTCCCTTTCTCTAAAAGTCCTGGTGACGTACATCATCAGTGGTTACCAGAACAGGAATAGATGAGAAATTCCCCCAATGGGGACACTTGTCCTGGTGACAACTATGAGGGTATATCATTTTCTTCTTGGAGTCATTTCCTCTGACTTGTGTCTACAGGACAGGAAATGAAGGGAATTATCCCATTCCCCACTCTATCCAAAATAGAAAGCTCTGGCTTTGTATATACCTCGATGGCTCTATATACTGTGCAGAGCAGAGATGACTATCCCAGGGTTATATAGATACAACAAGACGTGTGATTAAACAGACTCATGCCAGGAACAAAGAGACAGCAGGCTGAATTCTGACTCTGTACCAGAATCATGAGATGTAAACACACACACACAGATAAACATCGGGTGCCTTACCTCTTTGTGTCTGCCTTTGAAAACAACAGCAAAAGCTCCATGACCGATCAGGTCTTTCCGACTGAACTCAAACTTGCCCACAGACTCCATGAGCGATCCCTTGAGACAGACAACGACGCTGGGATGGGGTGGAGGTGTCAAATCAGAAGAATTTCGGATGAGGTGAGGGGGAGAAATCAGGAACTGAGGACCAGCTGGAAGAGAAGAGCTGCTCTCCTGTCAACCTCCCTGCTGCTGAGGATTCTTGGGGTCACTGACATGGGCTGCTGCTCCCAGCGATCCAAGCTGCCCTGCTGCATGATAGTGGGTAGAAGTGTTGGATGTCGCCTGGCTGGAAGGGGTGACGGTACCCCTAGAAGAGGAGGAGATAAGGCCCCCCTCTTTGACACAAGCCCTCAAGTGCCATGATGATGATATACGGTGGCCTGATGCAAGCTGTATCCCCGTCCACCTTCACCAGGAGAAGAGAGCCTCTTTGTTTACAGTCCTGGGCTGCCCACTCCACTGTGCCTGCTGCTGTCACTGCTGAGAGCTCATAATAAGGCCCACAGCCGATTGCACAGCGTAGTCCTCTAGCCGCTGGGACGCAGGCGCAGTAGCTAGCAGCAGACGGCGGGAACTGCGCATGCGTATGCAAAGTTGCTGATGCTTTGTTATTGCTGTAACCCGAGTGGCCATAGAGGACAAGGCTGTCTACGTGCGGAGACGGCTCTGTCGTTCCACCTGTTGTTCTACTGCTGCTTTCCTAGGTTCAGCATTGCAGTTTCCTGTAATGGAACCGTTACACTATCTGCAGTTTTTTTGTTTTTTTTTTAGTATTCTGACAGTTGCAGTCAGAATAATAAAAAAAAGGCATAAGACTGCATAGCTAGATTCCTATTGGCTATTTCAATTTGCAATAGCCAATAGCAAACTAGCTATTGCACCCGCCCTCTGCTGCTTTCAATCACCAGAAGAGGACCTGATAGAAAGATTCGGGTCCCCCTCTGCCGATTGACAGCAGAAGTGGGCGGGTGCACTTGCTAGTTTGCTATTGCAAATACCTGTAGGCCATTTGCAAAAGAAGTGAAGCCTGGCCTTAAGAATCATGCAAGTTTTCAAAGCTCTGTACTGTCTTCTTTTTAGCACAGACCATCCATTAGGCCCCTTTCACACGGCGTCCAGTTACATCTGGTTACCCCCAGCTGCGACCAGGTCTGTAAAAACAAATGGATCGAGATCTGGACCTGATCGTGCTGGATCGGGGGTAATCCAATATAAACATGAAACCAGCGAGAAGTCACTCGCACTCCAGCGTAATATCCGGTCAATCTCTTTATTGACTACAGTGGTGTAACATTTCATGCACTTGGACCTTGAATCCAATATAAACAGACAAAAGTCCATTTACATCTGTTTCCCCATAGACCTAACATGGGTCTGGTAATTTCAGTTTTTTCCTCCATCGTAACATCCATTCCGATCAGCAGTGGATCCATGTATGGATCGTACCATGTGAAAGGGGCCTTAGAATAAGCACCCCCTAGCGGTACAGTAGCAAGTACTGTCCTTCTACTGATTCCCCGCACATGTACCGGTGAGCTCATCCAAGGCAACAGGAGACGGAACACACTTCACATGTGTAGATGGACGGCGCTCATTCATGTACCGCTAGGGGGGCACTCATCCTAATGGCTGCTTCATCCTAGAAATAAAACAGGTTGGAGCTCTGAAAACTGGCAGGCTTCACTCATTGTGCAAATGGCTTACAGGTATGGAAAGAGCCTAAATGCATATTTGTAAAATCTGATTCGTTTAGGGTTATGGAATGGTGTTCACGGACGGCATAGGGTATTTTTCTGTTAAGGTGAACTAACCCTTTAACTTGTAGGAGGGAGCTAGACATAGAACTGACATGTGAAACTTTATTACATAGGTTACTTCTATTTGAAATTCCTAGATGGCTCCTCATCCCCAAATTGTTCTTCTAAGATGATCAAGAGTATGTCTAGGCAAAACCTTTGTTTTTGTAGTTTTGGGTAGACCAGGGTGGGATTAGACCTACTATGAAGTTTTTATTGTAGTCTGTGTCCCCACTGAGTAGATTTACCCCATCCATTCATCTACAGAAAGTGGAGACCAAAAAGTCCAAAGAAGGGAAATCCAAAATGTTAGAGTTGTCTCCAGAAAAAATGGGGTAATTGTCCAATGGGGACATTGGGGGCAACTGTCTAAGAGGGGAATTCCACCTCACTTTGGGAGATTTCCGTTAAAGCTGGCCATACACGTATCACTCGATTGCCCCATCCATGTTAAACAGCGTGGATGGAAGAATCTCCTCACCCACAGCTATCTGATTACCGTAATAATAACTGCAGCTAATCCTAATTGTTAAGACGAGTAACCTTTGCAGGACCCCCCACGGCTCAAATTTCAGCTGAGAAAAAACCCGAAATGGAGGGGTTTTAACCCTTCCCTACTCTATCCAAAACTGAAAAACAAGATTTGGCTATGCATACACTCTCAGTCCATCTTTTTGAATCAGAAGCTCTGCCCTTCCACTTAAAAATAGGGCCTCGTATAAGTGTAGTATCCACATATGGTCCAAATACCATTTATTCGCTACAGCATATTATATTGTTCGTCTGAATATTACTGTTGTTTGCCTTAGAAGCTGGCCATGTTAAAATGCGTTTTGTGGGGGGTAACATGAATAAAGTATGTTTAAAGAAAACCTGTGGCCAAGAATAACAGGCACCACTTTCACGTTGGATATCAGACATCTATCCTTTAGGTACCCGCATGCTGGATTGCTGTCTTTTTAAAGGGTCCTAGAACTTCCAGATACCAGGGGAGCTGATCTGTCAATAGCAACCAGTTTCTGTGGCCTTCAAGCCCGCCGCCTGGCACCACTCAGTATTGACCTAGGATTATGATGAGTGACTTACTAACCAATATTGAGGAACATGTGGGTGCAGTGCTTGTAACTCCTGAAGTAAGCACCTAAAAGATGTCCACCATGTCAGTGAGTGAGAAAGTATGGCAGCTATAGTACTTTCATGACAGGGGTACAGTAAGGAGATGGTCACAGTCCATAATAGCTAATGCTCATCTTAAGTAAAGATAACTTGACCAATTTGTAGCTTGTATAAAAATCAGAGGAAAAGAAACTGGCAGTCTTGCTGACAGTAACCAGATTATAGGTGTTGTTCAGTGCAGACTATTAATGGGAAGCAAAAGTCTGAATTATTTTGGGTATAGCACAACATTTTCTCTTAAAGTAGAACAAGGTCAAATTATAAAATCACAAATGTGATGTAGGTTGCCCATGCCAGTAAGGCTGAGCTGTTTTTCTAAGTACTCCCTGGATCATCTTATAATTACTTGTTGGTCCTGCCAGTAGAACTATTGGATAGGCACTTTGAGTGATAATGTGACAGTTCTCTTCTTTTCTTCAGTGAATAGCTATACTTAGCTCTGCCCACAGCCCTTTATATTGAAAGCAAATTGTTCTCCGCAGGAGCTGGAGAAAAGATATACAAGCCCTTCCCACCCAATACAGCACTGTCTAGCAGGGTGCAAGAGAACCTGATCTTTTTACTTTAACATTTTTAAGTAAGTGGTCTACCGTATCCTCTATGTTCAGTCCTACTGGCAGAATGCTCCAGTTGTGAAACCAGAAGTTGCAATCTCTCATTGAGACCAGACTATCTAACACCTCCTGCACTATACAACAAAAGTATTATCTGTAATAAGCATGAAATGAAACAAATAATAATGCCAGGAAAGGTATTAATACAGTGCAGCGGACAAGACTGTATAATGTAGAGCATAGCTACCAGAGTGCATGGGTCAGGTGTATGTAATGTATAGCGCAGCTATCAGGATGCAGAGTGGTCAGTGTATTGCCGTGCTTACATTTGTGGTAAGTGAAGAAGTGCCCGCCTAAATTGATGGTCTGTGAAAAAGTGGCCCATTACATTGCTAATGAGTGGTGAAGTGCCCACGTAAATTGGAGTTCTGTGCAAACTTAGCTTAGTAAATCATTAAATGACAGTGATACCCACATGGGAGAGGTCACTGATGCAGAATCCTTTGGATTGGAGATCAAGCCATTCAGGACTGCATGCATACTGGCTGCATTGTCATTCTCCACAGACAATGTACACTCTTATTGCCAGGAACTGAGTAGGCAGCTTTTACCTCCCTACCTTTTGAAGACAGAACAAGCAGCACTAACAGAGGTGCCATGTAACAAGGGCAGGCTGTACCAGACTAAGGATGCAAACAAAGCATTGTTTCCACTCCACTTTTCTACCTTTAAACACGCCGACAAGCTCATCTAACATAGCAGTTTCCCTAAGGGTCTTTGCCCATTGGGCATTTGGGCACTGGGCTTGTGTCAGTGGCATCAGTTTGACATCATTGACCAAAGTTTGATCTCCTTCTGACCTACATTTAGACCCGCTTTAAGTGGGTTTTGAATCCTCATTGACTTGTATGGGAATGCAAAACCCATCTTAAAGGCTAAGTTCACCTTTTGCAAAAATTAGAGAAATGGCTGTGACTAGTTAATTTCTGTACTGTAAGGTAGAATGCTCCTGCGTTTTATTTAAAGTCCAGTTCCTGTTTAGGCATGTAAACAAAAAAGTGGATCAGCCAATGCGTCTTGCTTAAAGTGACATTAAACCCTCAGATTTTTTAACATAAACCAATACTGTAATGTGTGCCTTACTGTAATCCATGGTAGTTTCCCTTCTCTTTGCTGCTCTTCCTTTTAAATCTGTATCTCTTCTCATGCTGGGGGAGAACTTCCCTTTGCAGCTGAGTGCCTCTTCCTGTAGTGCTGGCTCAGGTTGCAAACGTACACACAGACACCATATATCCATTTCAGAGACAAGGCAGTCTGCTGCAAAACAGAAGTTCTGCCCAGCATGAGATGAGATACAGATTTATAAGGAAGAGCTGCAAAGAGAAGGAAAACAACCATGGATTACAGTAAGGCACACATTACAGTATTGCTTTATGTTAAAAAATCTGAGGATTTAATGTCACTTTAAGGCCCAATCCCAGTTTAGCCACTGAAACAAAAACTGGATCCCCTACAGCTTCTGAAGACCAAAAAAGCGGCCCTGGCTTTGATACTTTCCTGATTTCAGGCGCTGTCGGCAGCAGAC